AAACCGCGTTTCGATACCCGTGGTGGGCAGAGCACAGATAGCCCTTTATGTAGCTTTGTGCTTAATAACAAACAACAACAAAAACAACTTTCTAGCATATTAATCTACTATTGCGTAATATAGGATCAGAGGTGCACAACATCTTCGAAACATTAAAAACATGGAAGGTAACGATAGTTATACTAGAGCTATAGTCCAGTTGAATAGACACTTCATTACTAGAAATATAAATCTTATTATAATGGACCTTGCGATGTATACGTCCAAAACTCGGATCTCGGAAACTGCCGCACCAATCATAACTGGGTAATACTTTTTATAACTAGGCAATATTTTAATAACTCAGCAATAAATAAAACAATTCAAATTTCCACAAAAATGATATGTTTCAGATTTAACCAATAAAAATTACAAAAAAGGAGTAAGTTTCAAATGTAAAACAATCAAAAAACAAACTTAAAAAAATTATTTGTTTTTCTTTAGTGAAAATCTCAAGAGTATTGCAACAGAAAAGCAAAGCACTTTCATCTGTGTCTACAAAGAAATACTTCAATAAAATCTACTCTGTGATGTAATGCTGTGATGATAACTCATTTTAAAACTTAAATTTCAAAATTTCAATAAAATCCTTTTTCTCATGGATGGCGAACATTATTGAATGTCAAATATGTGTACATTGTTGTAGAACTGTCAAATAATTCCAGAAAATGCCGCGGGCCCATTAGCCTTCCGCAGGAACTAGCAGTTATACCTGCCCGGAAGGCGAGTATTTCTTCTAATTAAAATTCCAGTTAATACAAACAATTCTACCTAATAAGGGATTTTTTTAAAGATTTTGAACTTAACTTAAATTCTAGTAAAGTTACACATATTCCCTGGCTACAATGTTAATAACACAGTGTTAAGCCAGTCGACTGGATGAACAATTTAAAAAAAAATGCTGTGTTAGCCCTCTTCAGTTTCCCATGTGTTAGCCCTCTACAGTTTCCCATGTGCTAGCCCTCTTCAGTTTCCTAATTTTCAGGGTCCCTTACAGTAACGCATTTCAAGACATTTCCCATGGTCTTTTAAATTAACAGTACATTCGGCAGACGTCCATTAGGCATTATCGCCTTGAACTTTTTTATTAACTATCTTACAGTTAAATATGCACTTATATAGTTAAATCCATTTTAAGGCGCTTCTACTCTCCCCTCCCCATTTTTTCTTTTTATAAACTAAGCTTCGTTCTCTTCAAACCTTCGAAGGCTTTTCATGCCAACCAAACGATTAGAGATACGTTAGTTGTCTATCATCTATCCAGGATGACATTTAGGCTTTGTGCTAGTATCTGGTCGATTTGTAGAAAATTAGGTAGCATGACATTTAAGATTTCTGAAAATTGTTAAAAGTTATAATTACAATAAGCTTTAAATCTTTTGTTTGTTCCATTGAACATTTCTGAAAAATCATAGTTATTTGTTACACCGACCACTAGGCAATACCTTTAGAATTTTGACAAGTTCCTTAACCTCACAATCTAAAAACTTGCAAATAGAAATTTTACTGTTTAAATATCAAAGCTGTCGAAGCACTAGAAACCAATAGGCCTAATATTTGTGATAAAAATCGCGTAAACCGTAACTTTTAAAGTATTATACTGCATTTATAAATAGCATTCCAGAGAAACTTTTGTCTATCATTTCCCATCCTAACTGACAATTTCAGGTGTTGAACAAAAGGCCTCTTGGGCAGTGGCTTGTGGGAGACAAAAGATAGGTCTGAAATGTTGTTTTCACATGCCTCTGACTTTGAATCCAAATTGGATAAACTGAGAGGATTGAGGAAACAAAACATTTGCAGTTTACATGATTTTTATTACCGATAGACAATTTTGTTGCCTTTGGATGGAAATGTACGATACCCCCCTCATGTTGATGATCAATTATATGTATGATAATATTAATTAGTGTTTGACATTTATTACACTCTTAATTGTACAATATTCCTTTCACCCTTCCTTATAATATTAATATATTAAGCTTAGTTATAAATTATTTATTTCCTCGTATGCAATTTTTAAAACTTTCACACCGTGCCCATTTCAAACATATAACGTGTAATGAATGTATTGTTATCATTATGAGTAATTTTCTGTCACTCTGGCAGAGTGTGCCATGTATTATCACGTAGGACCTGCAGAATTGTTCACTGTAAATTTCAAAAATTCGTTAAATCATGAGATATAATTACAGTGCATATTCCGTCGCTAAAGGTAAACCATAAGTTAAGACTGCTAGAGAACAGACTGGGTTGTTAGCGCGCTTGACTCGCAATCTGCGGTGCGCGCGTTGGAATCTCCATCCCACCAAACATGCTCGCCCTTTCAGCCGTGGGGTCGTTATAATGTGTGGTCAATCCCACTATTCTTTGGTAAAAGAGTAGCCCAAGAGTTGGCGGTTCATTGCTAAATTAGGGACGGCTA